ACCAAAGAGTGGATGAGTTGGCTGCACAAGCACAAAGTGACCGTTCAATTAGCCCCTCCGACACGGGTTCGGTTTTGGTGCACGAGAAGGAGATGTCACCTGTGTCCCCCATCTCGGACACTTTCGATCAAAGCGCTGAAATAGCACAGAACAATTCCACGCTTCCAGAAGCAGCGGATGAGAAGCAGCAACCCGAAGCAGACAAGGAAGAAGGCGAAAAGAAGCGGACTAGCAGCCTGCTGCCGTTGGATATCCCCCACACAGGATTGGACGAAGGCCTGGGATTGGGTCTCGAGAAGGAATTTGACCGAGTAGTAGAAGCCCAAAAGGTAGAGTTTGAACTCTCATTGCAACGTCTTTATTACCCTTTTCACGGACGATTCCCCTCCAGTGAGCTGCCCGAGGCAATGGAGGTGAAAGGAGGCAACCCAATGGAGAACATCCCTGTTCTCCCCAAACCTCGTGGAGCGCGTCCCCTACGTGCGGCACATGTTGTTCTTTCTCCCGACAGATGTATTGATGAAGAGTCATTTGCTAATCGAGCTGGCCGTCGACAGAGAGGATACCTGATGAGACAAAACACCAAGATTGTCGTCGCGAGCGAACGAATCTCTCAAGATGAGTGCAGATCTCCTGGCCTTCCGGGGACTGAAGACGGTCTGCTCGGCGTCCCCGCGGAAGCTAACCAGGTCCATGCATCACCGCGCAAGACGAGTCAGCCCACCTGGACTGCTGAGCCATGGAACGGTAAGGTTCGGCGTAAGAGTATTCGAGTTGGCGGGGAAAAGGCTGTCAGTAAGAGGAAGCCAGTCGAGGGCCCTGTACCGCCTCTTCCAGGACAAGCAAGCAATGCTCAGGAGGGCCTTGACGCTGTTGCTGAAGATGACATCGGAGAGGAAGAGGAGTGGGAGGATGGAGCCGAACGTGGCCGACTTTTTGTCAAGGTGGTCGGTGTCAAGGACCTGCAGATGCCATTTCCCCAACGTAAGCTGTTTTCTGATTCTATTAGGGACTTGATGCTGATCACGAATAGACGAACGCACTTTCTTTGCCCTCACGCTCGACAATGGTATGCACTGTGTGACGACAGCTTGGCTTGATCTGGCTCGAAGTGCACCTATTGGACAGGAATTTGAGCTGATTGTCCTCAATGAGCTTGAATTCCAACTCACACTGCAGATGAAATTGGAAGAGCCAAAAGTGGAACGGCCGCAATCGCCATCGAAACCGCCCGCATCGCCTAAGAAGCAAGGAGCCTTCGGGAGGTTGTTTGGGTCGCCTAAGAAGAAGAAAGAGTCGGAAGTGCGAGCTCAGCAAGAAGCCCAGGCGGTCAGAAGGCCAGTGACACCACCTTCGGCGTACGAACTGGTTCAAGGCCTGGTGGCTAAGGACGGCTCATTTGCTCGAGCTTACATTTCGCTCAGCGAGCATGAAAAGCACGCATACGGCAGACCGTACACAGTGGACATTACCTGCTTCAACGAGTGGGCGATGGAAGAAGTCCATGTGGGCAGTTCGAGAAGCAAGAAGAGCGTGACGCAGCTCCAGCGTCGGCCGCCTTATGAAATTGGCAAACTCGAACTGCAGTTGTTGTATGTGCCAAAACCGAGAGGAGCCAAGGACGATGATATGCCCAAGAGTATGAATGGCGCGATTCGGGCATTGCGGGAGGCCGAAGAACGTCTGGCGCAACAAGCAACTATCCAGGAGTTTGAGGGTTACCTGAGCCAACAAGGAGGCGATTGTCCGGTTTGTGGAGGCCCATTGAAAAACCTATTGAGGGAAGTATGCTGACGAATCTTAGTACTGGAGACGACGGTTTTTCAAGCTCGCCGGGACCAAGTTCACGGCATTCCATGAAACAACGCTTCAACCCCGGGCAACCATCAACCTTGCGAAAGCTACGCGGCTCATTGACGACAAGACGGCGTTGACGCAGAGAGAGACTTCAACCAAGGGAGGTGGACGGCGCAAGAGTGGGTTCGCGGAAGAGGAAGAAGGATACATGTTTGTGGAGGAAGGATTCCGGATCCGCTTTGCCAACGGAGAAGTTATCGACTTCTATGCCGATTCGACAGCCGAGAAAGAGCAATGGATGCAAGCGCTGTCGCAGGTCGTAGGCAAAGGCGTCCAGAGCAGCTCGGCCCCGGTTAAAGGATGGGCAGAAATGGTGCTCCGGCGGGAGAAAAAGATGAAGACAGCAGCAGGCGCAGTGCAACGGCCCAAGGCAGGTCATCAACGAACGGAAACGTACCATGCAGGTGGCGGAATGGGCCAGACGCACAGTCCAATGAAAGGGACAGTCGGACGGGAGGAGCGGCATCGAAAGACCAAGAGCATGTATGCGTGAGGAGGAACGAGACTAATAATGAGGACGATCGAGTTGATGGTTGATAGGGGGGCAAGGGAATGGAAGCTTGAAGGACATCAAGGCTTGTTTTGAATATGGATGGGTTTCGGTCGGCGTTGGTCAAAAGAGATATGACGATAATGGACCAGGGTCGGCTCCACGTGGGAATTGTCGGTTCGGTTCGATTCGATTCAAGTTCAATTTTCTGTTCATGGGAAGATGATTTCGATGCAGCACACGATCAATGGAGGAGCAACAAAGGGGTGGGGAGACAGGATTGTTTACTGACTCGCCAGGCGCCTGAATGCCGTGATGTGCATCTGACAGAATTTGTGTAGAAAATGAGATGGTGAATTCTTACAAAGTGTGCGACAGTATAATTGTGTAGAGGGTAAGGAGGTGAGGAAGTGGTGAATATCCCGAAATCGTATGGATATCCGTAACTATACGAGGGCAACGTAGGTATGAGTAGTGGTAACAGGGGTACCGAACAGGGTCGTAAGGTATCATGTATTCTGTAGGGTAGGTATGTGGTTGGTCTTGTCACTGGACTGTATCATTGTTGTTGTTGTCGTCGTCTCTTTTCCTTCCACCGGCACATCATCAACAGGCCTCGCCTTTCCGTCGGAAAGTGGGAATCTCCAGTCCTGGATCCCCCCTCTTAGTCACCAATGATCATCGACCTATATCAATTGTTCCCCGGGGTTGTACATATGGTGGTTTCTTCCCCGCATCTGTCTTGTCTGATCCCACGGTGTCTATGCCGAGCCGATGAGCCGTACCTACTGCATGTATGGAGAGGAGAGAGGGAGGAAGGGGAGAGAGATAACATATTTCTCCATTTATCTTGCTTTTTTCTCTTTTCGAGTCTTTTTTTGATCAAGGGGAAGAATACTATTACTCGGTATACCCAAGTCAAAACCGAGGAATTGAATAAAAGCTCTTTCAGAAAGAGAACTCAAGAGTCAAAGTCAAAGGCAGTCCTGAACTAGCCAGTCTCTTACATACATATATATATATATCACTCGATCCCTCACACCCAGACACCTCTGCGTCAGATTCTACCTGTATCCACTCCTCTCTTCACCTCCTCCGCCTACCAAAGCGATAGCAAGGAACAAAAACAAAATGTCCCCCGCCCTCGACGTCTACGACCACTCGTCGGCCGAGAACCGCTCCGTCGGCGCCCTGGGCGCGACCACGTCCGGCAAGAAACTCCGCGTGCGCTCGTATCCGAAATTCGACTCGCTCGAGGAGGAGCGCCTGTACCGCAAGCAGCACCTGGCGGCGGCGTTTCGCGTCTTTGCAGACCGCGGGTTCGACGAGGGCGTCGCGGGGCATATCTCGGTGCGGGATCCGATTTTGAGGGATCATTTCTGTGAGTTTTCTTTTTTTTTTTACCTCCTCTGGACGTGGTAGGGGAAGGGGCAGGGGCGCAGGTATGAGATTCGTGGGACAGAGAGGGGAGAGGATGGACGTGTGAAGGAGAGGTGACTGTCTAACGAAAAGAACGAGGGAGAATGGAAATAACACGATGAAGGGAAACTTTCTTTACTGACTCCTGTTGGCAGGGCTCAACCCCCTCTCGCAACACTTCTCCCAGATCTGCGTCTCGGACCTCATCCTGGTCAACGAAGAAGGCGAGGTCGTCGTGGGCGACGAGCCCATCAACGCCGCCGCCTTCGCCATCCACTCTGAGATTCACAAGGCGCGCCCGGACGTCGACGCCGCGTGCCACGCCCACAGCGTCTACGGCAAGGCCTTTTCCGTCTTCGGCCGCGAGCTGGACATGATGACCCAGGACGCCCTCCGGTTCTACAAGAGCCACGCCGTCTACGACAACTTTGGGGGCGTGGTCCTCGACCGCGAGGAGGGAAAGAGGATCGCCAAAGCGCTGGGGAACGGGAAAGCAGTCATCCTGCAGAATCATGGGTTGTTGACCGTGGCGAAGACGGTGTGTTTCATTCTCTCTCCCTGCCTCCCTGATTCCCCTTTTGCTGGATCTTATTACTGATGGTATCACCCTCTGGCCCAAAAAAAAAGGTCGACGCCGCCGCCTTCTGGTTCATCTCGCTCGACAAGACCTGCCACGCCCAACTGCTCGCCGACGCCGCCAGCGCCGGCAGCGGCCACAAGAAAAAGCTCATCTCCGACGTCGAGGCCGAGTTCTCCTACTCGCAGGTCGGCACGGACGAAAAGGGTTGGCTCGCCTTCCAGGGGTATTACGATGAGCAGCTCGCAAAGACGAATGGGGGGTTTTTGAAATAACTAGAAAATACTTTGCAAAGAACCGAGTGCATGTGTCGGGTACTCTTTTTAATGAAATTAAGACTGAATCACTATGCATCAATGATGCTTGCTTAACGGCCAGTTCGCCAACAAATGCTCCTTGCCGGTGCTGAAACTGATATTGTCAAAATGGCTAATGGCTAAATGCCCATGTCGAATGTTAACCTGGGGGAATGGTGTAAACTATGTATATTCCATCAGCAAAGCCCTCCAATTCTCGTCGGAAGTCGAAGGCAATGCCACTCCAGATACTAGCGCTTGCTCCTTAAAATGCGTGGGTATCATAATACATCCGGTTCGCTTCAAAAAAAAAGTCTTGTCCAAAATAAGAGGGCGTGCCTCCGTCACCTCATCCACTAGCTTAGACTTCTTTACCGCAAGCCACTGACACTGGCTTTGGTGTCGGGCTGTCTGGATCATCAGATCCTTCAGATGGATTGCTGACAGGACTTGGTACAATCACCGTTTTGAGCGGACTTGGGAGAGGTGGAGCCGGAGAGTTCTTCCTCGAAGGGCTCGACAGTGGACTCGCCATCGCCAGGCTTCTTGCGCGCGCATGTAGTTTGCGTTCTTCTTCACCGTTCCAGTCCTTGGTAAGTTCGGCCCTTACTCCACGGCTCCATTGTCGAACAATGTTCTCGAAAGATGACCAAGTGCTGACGGTTTCAACCTGATTTGCAACAGCCATCACGTCGAGCTGAAGCTTGAGCTCCCATCTGAGTTCCGCGGCCTTCAGCCAAAAGCGAAGGTTGTCTGCACGCCTGTACGGTTTTGCCACGTCTTCGTGAAAGGATTTGATAAAGTCGAATTGCCGCTTGGATCGTTTGACAGCGGCGTTGTGCATTTTCACAAGATCCCTGCCATCAGCTAGATCACGGAAAAACTCGGGCGTGACATCGGCTTTCTCAAGCGATGGGCTTTCTCCCTTGCCGTGGAGCAAGAAGTTGAGGAAGTTGATATCCCTTTCTTGCTCTCGACCAACCCACTTGGCATCATCCATCCAGTGCCAGTCCTTTCTTTCCGTCTTGTCCGCCTCCTCCAGTTTCGCTTCTTGGTCGATCATCATGCCAACATCACTCACCCAAACCAATACGGCGAGTCTCTCATCCTCACGAAATCCACCCGCAAAGTTTCGAGAAGCACATTTCTTCAGGACATCGAGCACAGAGTATAGATCCCTTCTCAATTCCTGGTCCGACTTGATAGAGTTCAGTCTCTGGGGATTGGGATGCAGAGTGTAATAAAGTCTTGCGGCTCGAATTGCTTGAGTGGTCGTGTCAAGGACATGCAGTCCCTGAATTTCGTAAAATCCTGGTGTCGGGTCTCCGGGACTGCTACTCGCCGGGCCTTCACAGGACTCAACAGCTTGTAATGCATTTTCTAAAGCTTCCACGAGTTCTTTCTTCATGGTTTTCTGATCGGGCGGTGGAGCCACATATGTTGATCGATCACTGTATGTGGATACGGTAGGGGGTAACATGACATCCGTGCCATCCTCAGTCAAAGTGTCCCAGGAGGCCTGAGACTCATCCTCGATTGGAGATTCAACGAGTTCTTGATTCGCAGTTAACGAGAGCTTTGGGATATCGTATTCACCATTCTGCTTCTTTTTTGCCATTTGCCCTCCCTTGCCATCTAACAATCCCGTTCGAGCGAAATAGTATTGCAGATGGGCGATACTGCCGAGGCTCATGACGCTCTCACGATTTTTGGCTGACTCGGCAAATGATCCTCCCTGAGGACGTACATAGCCACGACGACGGGAGTATGTGCTCGTTCGAGATGTCGTTGAGCCATTGGAGTATGATGATCGGCTCGAAATCGTCGAAACGCCGGAGCAGGATCGATTAGTCAAGAGGGCGGAGGAGTCAGGAGTTGCGAGTAAATTCGGCGAGGTTGAGGGCGATCGAGAAGGGAGACTGGAGGATGACAGGTCTAGATCCGTGCTCATGGCTGCTCGATTGTCACTGAAGACGTCGAATTGGGGAAGCACAGGATGTCTGGCTAGCGGGATGCAAGCAACGGTCGTGGCACAACCCAAGAGGTGGGCGTGTGGCACAGAAGGGGATGGCAAACGTTCACAAGTAGCGAAAGACAGGTTGATAAGTCCAAGTGATATGGTAAGGAGCGACGAAAGATTAAAGCAATCAGTATAGCACAGAACAACTGCAAACAGTGCAAAGGAAGATGAGCCTGGCCATGGTAGTTGATGGTCGGTCATCAAAGGGCAGGTTGAAGCAGGTTGGGTCGTGAAATTGCATCCAGACGCTAGTGCCAGATTCGAGGTCGAAAAGGGGAACGAAGTCGGCAGAATCAACGGGCTCGCTCCTCTCACTCGATCGATCTCTGTAGCAACGTCACCTACACAGCTTAGCTTTATTATTTTCGACTCCGGTAAAAGATTGCGGACTGGCATCGATCCTCTCGGTGTGATATATAAGAATATCAAGCAGAGCTGAGTCCCAACTCAAACCGCACTGTTTGTTGACATATCCGGACCCCAGTGGCGCGCACAGTCATGCATGGGGCGCGTTTCTTCGTCACCTAAAGTTTGGCGGTTCCAGGCAGTGGCGGCCGGATCGACGGGCTCAACCGGCCCCAGGAGTCTGACCGGTAGAGGGCGTTGAAGGCGGGATAAGCAGCAGCCCAGGGGCCTACCTAGTGCCTGGTACTTGTACCTACATGTAGGGTTCACATCGCCCCTGGAGCATGCTGTCGTCATAGCCGCCGCAGTCTCGTCCTTGCCCCGCATTCAAGAAGCCCAACTCATGGCATGCATCATTTCTACGTACTCGCACTTGGTCAATGTACCTAGTATTGCATGTAAGTATCGAGGCATATATCAATTCTGTCGAGACACAGTCAGCCGTCGGAAGTTGAAACCCCAAACCGCCACATCTCACCTTCTGTTTTATCATGACTAAACGAATTGCATTCAAAGTCCATGGTAAAGTGCAGGGCGTCGCCTTTCGGTAAGTTTCTGTGGTGTCGCAGGATTGATCATGCATCACGTCTGATTTCTAGGCAGTGACTTTACCCAGAGGAAAGCCTCGAGCTATGGCCTCACAGGCTTCGTTTTGAATACCTCTGATGGAAAGGTCGGGCTTTCTCCATACATTCATCAATAAACAGTTTGCATCAGACCACCCGCTGACATACCTCTCCACCTCTAGGTAGCCGGAGAAGCGCAGGGTGATGAGGAAGCACTAAAGAAACTGAAGGCGGATCTGGACACTGGACCTAGAACTGCTCACGTTGTCAAACTCGAAATCAAAGATATTGGTGTCAAAGAGGGAGAGAATTCATTCGAAGTCTCAGTATGAAAAATCGACAAAAGAAAACTCCAACGGGCTTTATTGAACACACATCTACAACACGAGGATACAAATACAATCGGAAGTTTGTAGGAAAGGGACTGATATCATCATTGGAGATTTTTGAGGATAGCCTCTTTCGTAGTTGCGACACTTGGCTCCTATCAGACTGCATATCCGGATTTCCCAAGCGAGGTCCCCGGCCAAGGATGTGAGAATAGAAATCTGAGCAAATAAGGGATTCATGCTGAACCACCAAATCGGTCATATATACCTACTTGGGGAGCATGAGTAATTGAGCGAATCCATCCGAGAAATATTCAGCCTCGACACTCAACCTAGAAAGTTGCCGGTTTCTCCCGACGTTGTACTGTTGTGTGGCTCATAGAGACCTCGAGGTCATTTTTCCCAGCCTGATGGGCTCAGCCTTCCAGGGTCCCGATCTTTGCCGTTCTTTTGCGAGTCAGCTGTACCTGTCGATCTCCGTGTAGTTACCGAAAATGCTAGATTTCTCGGGATTCAGGACCACGATGGCAAAATGGTGGTTTTGCGGCCAAGCCTCAATTAAATTGAGTAGTCAGCGGCCTCACATTGAGCTGGGGAACGCTATTTTACACGCAAGGAACTGTATGAGGTTCATGGGCGCTTCTAGACTTGGAAAGTATCTCTTGCCAGGGCAGGGAAAGTGAAATGGGATATTGATGCAAGGGCCACCGCTATGTTCATGGTGGTTAGCTTGCGTGAGTCAGCAGCTTTGGGAAGGTGCAGGTGGAGGAGCCTGGGCGCAGGCGGGTCGCGCATTCTAACCACAAACATGAAAGATCCCACGGCCATCGAAGTTTCATTCCTCTCCACCTCATCCCGGATACGAGTTCGAACCGTGTTGCTCCTCCACTTGTTCCAGTTCTTTTGGTAATCTGCTCAGCAGCGCACATGTGCAACACTGCATCTTAGAATTCGCAAATGCCCTTGGATGCCTAAAGCGTGCTCCGAAATTGGCGCATGTGGCGCATGATGCCTAACCTTTGACATACCTTCTCCTCGCTCCTCACTTGGGGTGGACCAGTTCGGATGCTGATACAGAACTATAAAACATAAACCATCTATTGGCATTGTCTGCGGGGGCTTTACCACTTCTCAATGAATTGACCAACTCTTTCATGACTCCAGGAGACTTGAACCAGAACAAACCTTTCCATTCCTTCCTTTGATTAACACAGATCCCCCCTCCACTATGACCTCGTCGAAAGCTCTCTTTACGCCTACCCTTACGGCAAACTTGTCAAGTGCAGCCAGGAAAGGCTTATTCTCATCGACTGCCACCGCTGCGGGTCTGAGGACCAGCTGTGCAGCCATCAGACCATTCGATGCGCAGTCAAAACGGAACTTCTCCATCTCACGCAAAGCACAGCTCGAATTCTTTCCACCATCCAAGAACCTCCCTCACATCAAATTGACGTACGGTCCGGCGGCCCTACATCGCGACCCCTTGTACTGACTATTTGCAGTCCTCCACCATGGCCTCATCCAGTTGCAACAGAAGAACAACTCAAAAAGATCGAGATTGCTCACAGAGATGTGCGAGGTGCCTCGGACTGGGTTGCATATAACACGGTACGCTTCCTACGATGGGGCACCGATCTTGTCACTGGTTACCGCCACGATCCCAACAAACCCTACGTAATGAGCGAGAGGAAATGGCTCGTCCGTTTTATTTTCCTTGAGACTGTGGCTGGTGTACCAGGAATGGTGGCAGGGATGCTCCGCCATCTACGCAGTCTACGGGCCATGAAAAGAGACAATGGATGGTGAGGATGACTGCATCTGATTCTGGCCGTGGCCATAGCTGACAGAAATCTTCTTAGGATTGAGACCATGCTTGAAGACGCATACAACGAGCGGATGCACCTCCTGACATTCCTGAAAATGGCCGAACCTGGAATGTTTATGAAATTGATGATTCTCGGTGCCCAGGGTGTCTTCTGCAACGCCTTCTTCGTCGCATACCTTCTGTCTCCAAAGACATGCCACCGCTTTGTGGGTTATCTAGAAGAGGAGGCGACTAAGACATACACCTATGCCATTGAAGATCTTGAGAGTGGCAAACTGCCAGGCTGGCAGAAGCTCGAGGCTCCGGAAATTGCCGTCAAGTACTGGAACATGCCGGAAGGGAAGAGGACGATGAAAGATCTCCTCTACTACGTCCGGGCTGACGAGGCAAAGCACCGAGAGATCCATCACACTTTGGGCAACCTCAACCAGGCCGAAGATCCCAACCCGTTTGCCTCCGAGTACAAAGATCCTTCCAAACCGCATCCTGGCAGAGGCATTGAGCACATCAAGTCGAAAGGCTGGGAGCGAGAAGAAGTGATCTGAGCGGGTAATGTGTATTATGCACTGGGGCGCAGGAGGACAATACCCGGGGTTTGCACAAGAGTTCAGTGCATTACAAATAATGACATTCCCGGCGTCTCTTGCGGCATGTCTTGGTATGGTGTTGCAGGTGCTATTGGGGGCAAATGATTGTCATGGTTTGACTGAAACTTGATGCAGGTCAGTCTAGAATCCGACTGTCGTGCAAACATCGATAGATAGTAGGTGGCCCCTCGTTTTTCAGGCTACATTGGGACCCGGGAGGGTATTTAAAAGGGCACCATTCCCCATTCCAAATACATGAATAAAACCGATTTCTCGCATCCACGTTGCTGCTGCGCTTTTGTCCGGGTTATTGTTTATATCCACGCGATAGGGACCCCCCATATCTATTATTATTGTGCGCGTACTCCGTAGGCTGTTCAACGACTGCCTGATGTCAGAGTGCATTTTTCAGGTACAAGCAGCTCAATCCTAGTGGCCCGTCACGCCTGTCAGCCCATTTTTTAAGCTCCGCAAGCGCGCCCTGGGAGGGTCTGCGTTCCCTAAGCCTGGTTCGTCGCCTTCACTCGTTGGTTTAATCTTACCCAAACAAATCCCGGGGCGTGCACTGCCAACAAACTTCCTAACAGCCCAACCTCGTCCCATCGGCTCACCGTCGCCCTTTACCTTAAGAACCCAACCTGCCAACATCGCCGGCGTACTAACTGGCGCTCGAACCACGTTTCACAACATCTGTGCACACAGTTTTCTATGCTAACAGCATCTGGTCAGCCAATTCCTGAACACGCTAAGCTGCAGGTTGTTCGTCGACCGTGATCCTTACGCATGACCTACACTGCAACTGCAGCTACACCCTCTCCCCGGGTCCCCTGGCCGCAAACCTGGAGCAACTGATCGGGCTGGACAGTCAGCGCTCGCTGGCTGTTATGACCTCTGCTTTCCGCCGCCCGTCCATGGTGGAAACCCCAAGCGATGTCGACCTACATCAACTCCTTGTTCCCTCTTCGTCGAACGATGTCTCTTCCCAACACCAGGCCAATTCCGCGTCCTCCGAACCCAGCAGTGATGCTGGCTCCTTCGTGATTCCAGACAGTCTCTCCAGAAGCAACTCCGTCTTCTCCTTTTCGAGGGCCTCCTTCAGCAGCCAGATCGCGAGCCTGACCTCAATTAACATCCCGCAAGCCGAGTCCCTCGCTGCCACCGTCAGCTCCCTTCCGACCGCCCGCAAGGCCGTAAGAGCGATATCGACTGCGGCAGAGCA